CATATTCCATGAAGAAAGAAAAAATTATACAAAAAGAAAAATTGGAGCTGGGTAACAGATTTAACAAATTAAAAACAAAGGACATTTAGCTAAATTTCAGTTTCAGATAAAAAATGAATAGTTCATTGTACTATAAGTATGTAACATTTGGAACATACCTACACTAAAAATTTATATGTTGTTTATTTAAAATTCAAATTTAACTGAATGTCCTGTATTTTATCTGACAGCTGTGGTAGTTGGGTTAAAAACATGGGGCAGGACCACTGTGGCCACCTGTTTATTAACAAAGCTTGTAGCTGACAATGACTCCTGTGAAGTAGGAAACTGGCTGCCTCCCTCTGAGGTGCAAACTCTCCATCTATAAGCTGAAATTTCTAAAATCTATATCCATTCTAACTTTCTCTGTTGTCAATTTATAAAAATTGAAGCATTTTATGATGTGGATATTGTTTATAATGAAAAGAAATTACTTTTGTTTAGGGAATAATCTGCCCAATAATACAAAAGTGTTGTAATGAAAGCAAGTTAATCATCCAAGACCAGAACTGAAGAGTTACTAACATGGAAAAGATCAGTCCAAGTCTTCAAGGAGGAGGAAAGGAATCAGGAGTGTATGTGTGGGTGTGTGTGTGTGTGTGTGTGTGTGTGTGTGTTTGTATTTGGGAAAGGTAGGAACAGATTTTAAATATAGAAGAAAAGAAAATGAGAAAGGAAGACAGCAATAGAAGAAAGTGAAGAAGCACGAAAGTGGAGGAAGAGTAACTGTGGAGACAAAACTAGGATGGGCTGCAGCCTCTGAAGGTTGTGTAGCATGTGCACTGCACAAAGTACCTTCCCAGGGAGAGGGGAAGGGAGAATCCAGCCCCACCCTCCACAACTGGCCAGAGATGCTGGCCTCACGCATCAGAACGTGCACTCTTTTTTAAGACCTACAACAAGAGATTAGTACACTAAGGGTTTAAGAATTTCAGAAACATTCTGGGTTATCACAGCCTTATGGGAGCTCTC